CCAACAGTGACGGTCGGGAACAACGTGACAAAATATTTGATTATAATTTTTTTTTAAATTTTTTTTGGATCAGACTATAGACAAATTGGATATCATTGGAAAATTTTCGACGCGAATAGTGCATCTGTACATTTTTTCAAGAGTTGAAAAATGACTAAAAAGAAGAAAATTGACTTGGAAGCTGCTATTATCTCTCCTTTTTGACTTGTAGAGCTGACAAGGCGACATATCGGTGGCGGTTTTGGGTATAACATAATAACTTTCGATGACCAAGGTGATTATTTGCTTTGGAAAGAGCATGTAAAATTGAAGTTATGATCCATGGTTATTACTATATACATGAGAGAAAAACCTGCTAACATAAGTGAGATTCAATGTAGTGATTCTAAGGACCATGTAGTTTGCAAGATGTTAGCATATCTAGATCCTTCCATACTCAAGCAGGTTCAACAATACTTTGAAATGTCACAATTTTGGGTTCCATCAAACTAACCTGTCGAATGTCATGAACATAGGTTGCAACTTCTATGATTCAAGATTTCTTTATCACAAAAAAATAATTTCAATTCAATTTATGTGAAATAAATTTTAAAGTTTGATACATATTTATATCCCGTTTGAATTGTTACAAGCAATTGTTTGAAAGTTTGATAATTTTTTAAATATAAATTATACAAAATGATATCTTGAACTATTTGCAAATGTTTTGAAAAAATTTAGAAGTAAATTTTAACACTTATTTTCAAAGCATAGTTGGAAAATAATCAATCACATATTAGAATTGAAAGTAAATGGACAGAATACTTATTAGCTTTTATAAATTTGATGTGTCACAGTTTCATCAACCAAAAACAAGAAAAATTTACGCAAATTATTAGCAGAAATAACGCAAAATTTGCAGCATAATCACTTGCTTGAAAATTTAGAGCAGGAATATAAAATTGCTCAAATTTCTTAAAAATAACAATCTCTATGCAAATGTCTGTATCATTAATGCTACGTCATCATGATAAGAAGAATTATCATTTGATATAAAATAATGAATGTCAGGTTCAAATGATTTTCAACATAATATACATCTATGTTTTAAATCTATGAATCTCTTCAGATGCATTATTGAATGTCAATCATGAAAATCATTGATAGCTAAAATTGATGAGTCAAAAAAAAAATCTAACATCAGATATAAACATAGGAATATCTAGATGGGAATTGAAATTTTTTGCAGTAGTGATATAAGGTTAGGATTGTAGAAAAGCTGACAATCTCAAGAAAAAATTTAATAAAAAAAATGATTTTTTTTTACATTTATGTAACACACTACAAGGAAAAACATAAATAGTAGTTTTTTCAAAGACATATGGTTTATGATCTAAAAGTTATGCATTTTGCAATCTGCTAAATTAGTAGGGAGATGAAAGCATTTTCAATTATTCATATACATATTATATGTATTAATGACTTTTTTGGTTTTTATTTGTATCATAAATTTTATTTTTTATGTAAAGTGATTATAATGTTAAAATTGATTGTTTTAATTCAAATGTTTCAAACGTTTGTCACATGAAGAAAAACCTGATACTATTTGCTCTGATGCGTGCATATGATCATCAATGGAAGATGACAAATCATGAATGGTGTAGTTTAAGTTAAGCTCATGAAATTTTAAATTTAGAAATTAACATACCCAAAATTTTGTATGCGCTAAAAGCAACTTTTTCTATTAAACGACTTATGTTTTTACAAATGAAAATGACAAGTTTTGGCATTTAAACTTATATCACGTGAAAAAAATTGCAAGTATATCTTTCACTAATTTTTTTTCAGATACATTAAAATCCAATAATTTATGATTCTACAAAGTTTTGTGATAGGATAGCAACATCAAGTTGCTTGTAGCATTGATGTTCTATAGATTATGAAAGATTTTCAAACATATACTTAAAAATATATGTGAATCTCATTTTCTATTCTCTGATATTTAAATGAAGTTGTATCATCATGATTATTTCAAATTAGTGTAGAGTTTTTTTTTACACAAAAATAATATTATTTTTCTCATTTTTAACATATGAAAAGTCAAAATAGAGACTTACGCAAGAATATGAGAGTTATGTGATTAGATATCTGAAGAAAAGAGATTTGCAATATCAACAGCAAGGAATAGTTTCTTATTTCACTAAAACATTTTACTGCAGTGAAAATATGATATTGCTAGACATTTCAATGTAACAGAATTAAAATAAATAAATTATTATATCTTTGAAATTCAAGAAATAAAATTTGAAAATTTGTGAAGTTTGTACTTCAAGATAATGTTGAAGTTTCATCTTGTCTTGATGCTAAAACTTTGTGTGGTCATATTCTTTGCAGGATGAGCAACACTTGAGTTTGCAAAAACTTAGCTCGTCGGTATCCTCCAATTTCACGTCGTAGTCTTCCTCAGACTCTAGTGGTCAAGGATTGATTTAAATCATGTTCCACACTTTAACACCTAAGATTTCATAAGAATTAGATGCTTGTGTTTTCACATAATAAATCTGATAGGAAAGAAAAAATTATAACACTTAAAGTTATAGATAGGCTATGTATGGACGAAAAAAATACTGGAACTAGATTTGTGTTTATACTCGATGTTGGATGCATAAATAATGCAGAAATGCATAGCTGAATCTATTTAGAAACTAAGTATAATGAAAAAATGGAAAGAAGAGAATGAGAAAATTTGATTAGATGTGCTTGTCACAAAGATGAGGTAAACTCATAACATAGTGAATTTTTATTAAAATAGATCCCGTGTGTATAATCTACATGTGAATTAAATGATGGACAGAAAATGAAGCACATATACATCAAATAGTATTTGTCAGACCTAATGACTGTCTAAAATATTGAGCTAATGAAGGTTTACATTGAGACCCAATTTTGACGTTCTTTTTATCCAAATGAGTAAGTTAGAAAAAATATCAATGCGTAATGTCATATTTCAAGGAGGTAAAATAATAGATATATATATATATATATATATATATATATATATATATATATTCACTTTATCATGTTTTAGTAAACATAAATTTTAATTAAAATTGAAATCTGTGACTCCTTGCATAATAATTATGTTCAAATAAACTAAATAAACTAATTTTACAAATGAGGGCTAGACAAATTTTCTATGAAACAAACAAGAAAGTTTAATGCAAAACATTTGTATTTGGAACACATATGCTCACCATACAGTGTACCACAATTTTTTTTGTTTGTCCTAAGTTGTGCATGCAAGTTTTGTGTACTTCTCATTACAAATAAATAATATGTTTATATCTATTTCAAAAAGGATTCATGAAAACTTATTTAAAAATCGCTATAATAGTTCTTGAGTTAAGTATAAAAAAATCTATTGAAGAAAAATGAAATATAAAATTTATAATGTTGATTTATTTATAGATTTTCATATAAATTAAAAATTTATTATATTTAAAACATTATTTTAAACTGATATATGATTTTTAGAAAATTTTTTTATATAAAATGAATTATGTATTTTTTTCATTTTTATTTGTATTAATCAGAAAATAAGTTTGTTCTGATTATTTAGCTTCATAAAAGCAATCTTTAATGGAAAGCACGACATTATTTGTATTGAATTGAATATCTAATTCAATTTGTGATATATAGTCAACACATGTATCATGAATATATGAATTGCTTGAAAGTTGAAACGGAATGTTTAATTTTTAGCACCAACATGAAAGCTTATAGATCTTTCATAGAAGAAACTATATATCTTCATAAAAATTTTCAAATGCTATTATTTCAACAAAATCAAATTTTCAAAATTGTAAGTATGATGGGAGTAGATATATTTTAGCTATACCTTTAAAGATATGTTTTGAATATCTGTATAGTTCACTATATGGTGTTGTAGTTTCAAATTTTACGATATATAATGATTTTTTTACACAATGAATATTAAATGGTTAATTCTTAATATGAAAAATCATTATGTATTTTAATTTTTTTCAAAAAAATGTGAACATATAAATTTTATTATTATATTTTTACAAGCATTGAAACTTATTTAGTAGATTTTATATTTTCCTTAACATTAATTAAAATGGAAAGATTAACTAGCCAAATCTGAGTGTGAATATATATCTATATATTATTTTGTTGCAATCTTTAAAGATAATTGTTCGTGCACTGTCAATTTAAACCGTTTAGATAACTTATTTAGCATAAATGATTGATTATGTTAAGTTAATAAATTTTGTAAGAAATTGATTAATTTCGGTCAACAAAGTTATGATTTTTTTTAGAACATAGATTGCTGAATGTAATGCATGTGATTTGTAATTATTGATGCTTTGAATTTGTGTACAAGATTTGTGTGCATAACTGGTTATTGCAGAAGGTTTGAATCATTGGTTTAGTCCAAATGATTGAATTGTCTAATCAATTATTTCTTAATTCATCATCAATTGTGCGCTCATATTTTATTACTAGTTTTTAAGTGTTGCAATTTTTTGTTTGTTTGGTTGGATGAAGTAGTCATTTTTCACAACTTATAATAATGAATATCTGTAATACGTTGACATCACTATCATAACAGTTCAGTTTTTACATAAATACGTAGCGTAAGGAATATCATTTATGACTATTATGAGTAAATGTGATATTATTTACCCTCTGTTTCATTAAATCGAAGTATACATAAAACATTTCACAAGCTCGAAAAATTTGAAATTTAACCATCTATAATTTGAAAAAATAAAACGTTATATCGTTTAATCAGGAGAAAATTTATTTTTTGGGATATATCTTTGCTCTTTCCTTTCTTTACACCATGGAAATCCATTTTCATGAGTTTTAAATTATACAAAGCTTGACAAGATTTTCGAATTGGGTATCTGGATACGTAAAATAGTACGGAAGGCGCATCAGCGTGCACGATCAAATAACTCACAGGAACGAAGGTGGCGGGAATGATCGATCACCAATCACACAGAATTTCGGAATCAAGAATACAGAGTCCCTGTTATCGACCAAGCTTTAGACCTTTCTGGCACCGCTTTCGGTCGATATTCACCGATCGATCAATGCAAGCTTGATCGGTGACTTGGATGCGTCTCTCTGGACGGGGAAGTGCAGGACCGTGTCATGGAGTCGATGGACTAATTTCGAGCTTGTTCTGAAGAGGCAATTGGCTTCTGCTTCAATGCTGGCAAAAATTTAATGTGCTAACCCTGGCTGGATCCGCACCGGGAAATCTAGGCAGGGACAAATTTAGCAGTCTGGACATGGATGCGATCTGAACATTGAAAGTCGGCCACGGCGAAAATCTGATGTGCGATCAATAATTGCCCGGTGTCAGAGGATAGAAATATAGATCTGGGCGGAAATGGCGTTCGTGAGCCCCCAGCTAGCGACGCTTGAGCAAAGCCTGAGGGAGAGCTTGCAGAAAGAAGCAGCGGATAGTCAGAAAAGACAGAGAGCCGTGGAGTTGCAGAGAGAAACATGGGAACAGAATCGACAGGTGCTCACGGTTCCGGAAGAATTGAGCACCAGTGGAAAGGAAGGAGGGGACAAGAAACAGCAGACGGAGGAAGACGCATCGATCTTGACTACACACGCGAGGGAGGCGGCGATCGAAAAGCGTAAGCTGCAGGTGAAGGAGAAGGTGCAGTTTCAGTTGAATCGCGTTAGTAACGAAGCCAGAAGGCTGGACGAGCTTCGTCGAGTGAGTATTTCGTATTATTGCTACTTTACTGCTTGTGTTTGATGAATTGTGAGCATTCTCGCATCTTACAATCTGAGCGGATCTACTCGTGCATATTCTTTCGGTCCAATTGGCACTAAGGACCGCTCCCTCCACTTATGTGTAGCATTCATCCGAAAGGATGCTTTACATCAGGAAGACTGAGCGATGCAGACGATTTGCTTATTTTTCGAAAATAGATAATTATAATTTTGAATCAAACTTACTGTGAATCATTCAATTTCTTGAGATTCTTTCTTCCTCCGAGTGAATTTGGTGGCTTTGGCCTTCCATCGTTGGCCAAGAATGCAACTGGTCTGAATTATTTCTACATCAAAATCGTGTCCAGATGAATCTTTCGACTTGGAACTTCTGACTGGTGTAAACATTTCATATTGTCTCCTCGTAGGATGGTACGGATACCTTAGAAATGTAGGCCATCAAGTAATCCACACCATTATCAGGACTGCAGTTTTTCTATATGTGTCATGTCCCTAGGTTTCCTAGGTACTGAAGGAAGCGAAAATTTGAGAGTTGAAGAATTTTGTAAGATAACAGATTCATATATCAGTCGTTTACATCCATATAGTAGTCAGACATGTCATAAGGTGGGTATCATTTGCAGTTTTAATTTTCACATACATCCAGGTCCTTACATCAGTTGAGGACAATAAATAGAATGATGCACTCCATTGTTTCCGAGGCCATTCAAGTCCATTTTACAGATGGTGGTTTAACTGAATTTGTATAGTTTGAGGATGTTAAGTTATTTCTGTTGCACAAAACCCCTTAAAGTAGGTGATACCTACAGTCTCTTGTTCCCGTGAAATATATAGAAGCAGTGGGTTGTTGAAATGTCCTAGGTTCTTGTATGTTATGTTTTTACCATGGAATTGTATCAATGCATGATAGAGCTAAGAGAAATCAAAATAATGCAGAAACGTGCTCTTCAAAGAAAAACATCAAATTATTTGAGCTTTATAAGAACTTGTGCATGCTCTTGTTCCCTGCATAGGTGTAAAAGGCTGACGGGTGTAGAGAACAAGCAGCTTTCACTCTATGGCATTGATCAGTGGCGACCTTTCTTTGACAGGAACTGGACAGTCTGGAGGATCCAACGAGGAGGGAAGTTTCTGATATCAGAAAAAAAATAGAGACCGTCGATAGGGAGCTTAAGCCTTTGAAGCAGTTGTGTGAACGAAAGGTACAAACAGGACCATACGTCGTCTCGTTTATTATCTGCCAGAACTTGTTTGTGTGTTTACAGATTAACGCTGAGGATGGAGCTAAAACCGGAGTGTGTTATGAACTGAACGTAGGAAAAGGAGCTGAAGGAAGCGGTGTTGGCACACAATGACAAAACTAAGCTGAAAACGGAACTTGTCAGCAGATTAATGGAGGTGAGCTGAAAACTTTGCCAGCAGACATAATTTGAGATAGAACCACTCCAGAAAGGTAACCACATATATGAATGGACAATCGCTATAAGTGAAGAGCTTAAAGGTATTCAATTTCGTACAAAAGCAGTCTAGAATTTTCTGCACAACATAATGCTCCGTGGATTTTACTTAAAAAAAATCTGCTTGTAGTCCGTTTGTCCATCTAGATTCCTATAAGCGAGAACTTTACCGAATGAGATGGACCAAATGTCTTTGATAAACAATGCACAACAGGATGCATTATTTCTCGTTTTTCCAAATATTTCTTCAGGATCTATGTTCAATTTATGTCATACCGAGCATCAAATACTGTACCACATGAAAATGTGTACCTCTAAATAACAGGGCCGTTTGGCTGGATTGGAATGGTTGAGGGAAATGCCAGACCTGCAATCACTGTAAAGCCCAGATTTAGGCTAAGAAGTAACCACCACCGTGATAAACCTGTTCACTTCCTGTATCTGAACATCAGTAGAGCTCACATTTCTTCGACGATTTTTTGTTTTAGTTCAAAGAAGTCTTGTAAGATTAGATTCTTAGTTAGAATTTATATACAGGCTCGTGGTATACTTCAATTTCTAAAGATTATACTCCTGTATACTCTTTAAAGTCTTTCGAGACTATACTACTCTTAAAACCTGTAAGTCTCGAAAACTCTTCTCGCATCTTTTGGACACATTAAGGAGCAGGGATACCATCATATATGTATGTATGGAACTTCAGGGATCAGAGCTCATTTGAACAGATTGATGGTTTTTGTTTGTCTGAAATTGGTGGCCAGTCTCTTTGTATACACTCTTAACCGATGACATCCTTTGTAAAATTTTTAACCGAAGGATATCTTGAATGCTAGTTTAGTAAAGGATTTCTGTTTTCTCTAAAGTTTGTGGAGACTAATAATACGTAAGCCCTGAGCTAGGCTTGTGAACCATTGTATTTGATGCAATGGAGGAATGATCCCAAAATAGTCTCCAACTAAGAGGTTGAACAATGGTACATCGCAGATTGTGACAACCAGCGAGAGAGTCAGGATGCAAAAGCTAGAGGAGCTCAATAATCATCTTGAGCAGATGGAGAAAATGAGTGGGCGTGCCCTATGATTCTCCGTCATCAACAAGCTAATGGCGCGAACGTCATCATTTTGGCGAGATTATGTAAAATCTGTCCATTTATCATTTTTTGGTCATTGTGAAGTACAATCTCTCCTTTGAATCGACCCTCCCTTGGAATATGGCTGTGAATTGTTCAAAGAATGATTTCCTATGTTTAGGATTTGCAAAAGCAGACCTAGTTCAAGCTGGCAAAACTTAATGCATCCCTTCGGTTTGAGACCCCATCGTCGTCAGTCCCTATAATCACTTCTCACCAGAAGAGTTAAGTTGTTCTTATGTCAAACTTTCCTCACTGATGCAAATATTCATTTCAAAGATCCTAGTTGATGAATCACAGATTTTCACTTGTGTAAAATAGCACCAAACCAATCTCCTCGATTTGATTTTTGATTGTTCTTGAATTGAAGCATTGTAAAAGCAGGAGCTTTCAAAAAGTGTAATGATAGCATGACCCATAGTTTGACCTCATTCTCAACGAATGTACATATCAAAGAATGGTGAATCGCTATACACATTCCTAGTAGTCTTGAAGTGTGGGAACATTCTTAAAATCTAGCTTTCTCCTTATCTAGATAGTGTATTCGATCATTACGATATAACAACTACCCCTTACAATGTATTCGTTAAGCTTTATTCAGGAAAGTCGTGATCTTTGTCACCGCTACATGGTGGGTTTCTGAAATCATCAGTGAGCTTGGACGTGGTGGAAGTGGTACGAGGTAGTAAAAAGTGAATATCATGCTGCAAAGTCTATGACATGCACTAAGAAGAACTACTATATTTTTTTAGTTTATTATGAGAAGACTTTATATTAAAATTTTCACTTAATCCAAACACTAAATCTTCTATAAGTCCTGGTTTCGATCTAGCTCAAGAGGAAATTGTACTTTGTTGCGAGTGCTCATAACTAGTAGTAACTAAACCTCTTATTGTATGGTATTTTTGTGTTTCGCGACATTCCGTGAGTAATCACGGAATGTCGCGAAAGAAGTTATATCCAACAGCTGGCAACGGTCTTGATGATTAGCAAAACGAAATGCAGAGAAGCATACTCGAGCATCATGAACGTCTCATGATGTTTTATACAAGTTAAGTAAATGCGAGGAGTGTACTCAATGCAACATGATATACATATATTTTGAAAATGAACACATGTATATTTCGAATGACAAAAAACTAGTTAGTTGTCATTCGATTATGTTTTCATTCTGAAAATATATGCATATTTCGAATGACAACTAACTAGTTTGATGGACCACACCGTATATGATGAAAACTGTGTATCTGGATCACTAATTACAGGACTAAGGCTTGTACATGGCATTGGATTAGACAGTTCTATTATTTGAGTCAACTAAGTTTGTGTATCGAGCATACACCTTGCGGGAAATATATGATGCATGGATCTGTAAACTTCATGATATTCCCTACTAAAATCAAGTAGCTTCCTTACAACGATGAAATTGCGTTTGAAAACATCTAAATATTATACTATCTTAGATGCAACATGATACATATAACTCTTTGATACATATAACTCTTTGCGTACAAAGGTTAAAAATATGTGGTGATTGTTATTGCAAGAGGATTGAAATCCCAATTGATTGGCTAAGAGGTATGGTTGATTTGAACTCTAAGCTATATTTGTAATTTAAACTGAAAATCCAAGGTATAGCTGCATATATTGTTAGTTCATAGTATGAAACTCATTCGTAAATAACTATGATGGATACTTCAGCCACAAGTAGAGTCATAGTTCTACCATCTATGTTTAATCAATAGTATTCTTCTTTCCCAATTCTTGTAATCTTCTTGTCATACTTATTATACATACTTATTATTAGTTTGGAATGCTTTAACAATAAGACAATCCACTTTTAAGCATTACAAATGCTTTTTTTTCTTTGAAAACCCATGATGTTTATGTGATTGATTCATAATTTCTGCAATATGATATTTTTTTTATAAATTTTATCTCTCACATATCATATTATGTATAATATGTTTGTTTACATGTAAACATTTGTAGTCATACAATATTGGATAGTGTTATTTCATATGACAATCAATGCTTTATTAGATAATTGAATACTACATAAATTTCCAATTATTATGACAATATAGATAAATCTATATTAATATTCAGATGTTTACAGTTATTTTAAATGTTGCAATTTAATAATGTATGTTTCCATAAGTTTGTTTGTAATCTCCCGAAAAAAATTAAATTTGTAATGTTTTGGAATTTTTTTGTTTTTTCAAGTGTTCATTACATGAAATTTTTTTTCTCAGATATTGGTTGTTATATATAAATTTTTTTAATCTTTCTCTATTTTTGATAAGGCTAAATAATAAATTATATTGAAAGAATTATTAAATTGTGGGCTGTTCGCTGGATAGAGAAATTGGTCACTTGTCAAGCTCATAATCAGAATGTCGTGGGTACGAATCGGACTCAAGTAAGGTGATAGTATTAATAAATAATTTTGGGGTATTATTTTAATCACATATTTGTAAGCTTTTAATAAGAAAAAATAATATATATTTATATTGGTTTATATATATATATTGAATAATAAGAATAATCAGATTTTTAATTTCTGATTACAATCTATGTTCATAATATTGAATTAGTTTCATCACATGAGTTGAATCTTGTAATTATCAAAAATTGTAAAAATTTGAAATACATATAATGTATTTTACAACTATTAATACAGAATAAATCATATAGTTTTTGAGAAGCTCAAGCATTGAACTGTATAAAAAGTGGAAATTAAAAGATTTTTTTCCAAGTCAGTTTACAACATTTAAAAATTATTGATATGAAAAAAATAATTAAAGATGAAGACACAAGTCAAGATATAATTTCTTAGATTATCAAATGATTCAAAAGTACAAGATGCTACACATTTTATATATATATATATATTTCTGATAATTAAAAAAATTATTTATTATATTTATCGCATTTTCATTTGCAATAATGGATTCTTCGTTTTCATTGAAATAAATCTATTACTGCTACGTTTAATATTAATGAATATGCTTATGACTGATACTACAATATAATGAGATTAAACTTGAGATTTCAAACTTGATCATGACATGCATGTGATACGTGTTACTGTTTTACTGTGATACTGTTTTTATTGATGTCAAAATTTTGGTTTCCAAAAAAGTTTTGGTTCCAAAGAACATATTAACACAAGTTGAACTTTGTGATTTATATAACTTCTTGAATAGAAAGAACACGCTGGAACTGTTTATTTGAATATTCCCCAGTAGGATTTATAATTATGTATTAAGTGGAGAGAGACTGAAAATTTTGCACTCTTATTATATGTGAAATTTACTTGGTATATCAATTAATTCATTCATTCATTAAGAGGGGGCAAAGTGTATAACAAAAGTAGCAAATAAGTTTCTGGGAAGTTTGTAATATCATTATCGCCCCCGAAGATTTTGCTAGTTACCGTGCATTTTTCATCCCACCGTTATGTCCGTATGTATAACATTCGTAAAACGTTCTCATGTTGTAAATGTATTAATACCGGAATATCAACCTATCCCCGAGGCCAGGTCTAGACATGCCTGTTTGACCTCACAAGGGTGTCAAATTGAGGGAATCCGAATTTCACGAGAAGTGGAAAGTGAAATCTATGGGACTCCACATTATACTCAAGATCACATGCACCTCAACTGATATTTCGCTGACTGTTCAGACCTTTAGCACCAATGTTCACGCCAAGACTCGACTCTAATCAACTCCCACTCGTACTCCTGTCATGACTCTGTCCGAATATCTATCACATTCATGCAAAAAACCAATTCTTTACGGCAATCGGACGGCCCTCCATGCACTAGTGGGTTGTGAACTCCGCCTAAAGCGACCTGCTCTCAAAATTCTCATACACTCTCGACCAGGTAAATGATCAGCATCGGGAATGTAGCCGGTTCCTGGGATCCTGCCCCAGCACTAGGAGATGCAGTGCTCCTGATTCCAAAGAGTTGATTGAAGCTGCGTTCGTGCATGGAGAAGTACAGCAGATTTTACTCATTCTTTCACATGGTCCACCAGGCAACGCATATTGACAGGGAGACAGTGCTGATCTTTCCATCGAGGCTAGGACTTTGGCTATCTGGAAGGCCTCTGTTATGTCGAGAGGTTTCTGCTGATCCACATGGCACGTGCTTGACGAGTTCCCCCCGTCGGTCCCAACAAGCTCACAGCACCTGCAAGCACTCATGGCATACCTGTCCTTCGAGAGCGGACTTACCTCACGTAAGTGCTGAGTGCTGCAGGGCTGGAAAGGCAGGTCCGCAGGGGAATCGCTTGCTCTGCAGGACTTTGGCTTTAAGTTCATCGATCACTCTATTCTAGACTTGCCTAGATCCAGACAGTCCTTTCGATTCTGGGCTCCACGCTTTGAGAGAGATTATTGAAAGAGATTCAAAATGACTTCCAAGGTTTCTTCTGTCGTCTCCATTCTTCTTCTGTGGCTTTTGATACATACCTTGCTCTGGAAATTGACGAAGCTGACTCAAGGTAAATCTGTGGAGGTCGTGCAGAGCCATCGAATTGCGCGCAAGCTTTCAGTTTGAACGAGTATCTACAACAACAAAGGTCGCAAGCATTCATCACAGGCAACGTCTTCAGCAATGGTACCATCAGGATGACCAACAACTTCATCCCTTGCAGTATTCCTGAGGATTAGAATCTTCCACTGTCCAATTCCAGATATATTTTCGCGTTTACTGATTGCCGGGCGGAGGCATGAACTTGATAACTTGTTCGAGCTACTGGAAGCAACTGTGTTTATCCTCGAAGAAGAGAAATTCCCGACAGGAAGTATTCACCACATGCGGATCTGCAACGAAGCATTGTTCATCCCTTTCTCTTCTGCCCTCATTCTTCCATCGTTCTAGCTGATCAAAGCCGATCAAGATTCACACCGTAAGTCGCTGAAGCCTAGGTAGATTTTGGATCGAAATCTTCCGCATTAGTTTCTCTCTCTTTCTTCATTTGCAGTTGTCTTCGATTTTCAATCGCTTTCCCTCTTGAGGGATCTTCCGGCATATTTCCTCTGGACTCGGCAGCCTAGAATGCAAGCATCAAACCGTGCGATTAGATTAGTGTTGTTGGAACTGATTTGGTCATGATCGCATATGCTTTAAGTAGAAATTAGAAGAACACAGAACGGGTCTTTAAGACAGGTAGATCTAGTTTATAGACAGACATGGTCACACTGGCAGATTGTGTATCATCAAGCTCGAGCTTTCCTTTCCGGAGTAGCCTGGCTAGATGGATGGAATTGTTTACAGCGTCCATTCAATAAAAGATGGTAGGAGTTTTTGATGCAGTAGGAAGAAACATAGGGAGTTATACATGGATATTGATATAGATGTCACATCCTTTTCATGTCTCTGAAAATCGAGTAGGTTTAATCTTCACAAATTTCTCCCGTTTGAATATTTTTGATGACTTTGAATATTTAAAATTAGCAGGATTTGTTCACTTGAAATTTGATGATAGATCTGACAGATTTGACATCTAAAAACAATTTTGGTCTTGCAATCAAAGTAAAAGAAAAAAAGTTGCATTATAAGTCTACATGACCATGATTAACGCTGGAGCGTAAGTTTAGTTGAATCTGATGATAAGTAACTACATCAGTTAACTAACCTATGTAAGTCAGCTGCCAAAGATCTCCGCTGCACTCATTTTTTAAGAAGATTTTTTTTGCGTTTCATGAACACAGCTGTAATCTCATCGAAATTGCTTGGGAATGCTTATCATTAACAAAATCAATCAAAATTATCAAAAAATTGTAGAGTTTAAGAGATACAAGTGACATTTTTCTGAAAAAGATGAACGAGTGATAATTCTGAACTAAAGATCTAGCAAGCATTATAGACAAAAATCATTGATTTGGAAACAATTTCAATTGATATTAACAAGATTGATTTTTTATACAATGAATATCAGTTTTTTTATAGCTTTATGTGAAATGAATTATTATAGGGGTGATGCAATCATTTATTGCTAACAAGAGTTGAAAGTTAATGATATTTTCAAAAAGGGAACATTTTCTAGATCATAAGTATATATTCAAGCAAATAGTAAGTTCTATTTTTTAATGGATCAAAGAGTATAACAAATATTTATTTATGATACTGAAATTTGATTTAAACATAGATTTGGACTATGATATTTAATATCAATTCTGATTGCTAGGTATAATCTTTTGTGTTTTTTCAAACTTTAATTTTTAATCAAATATTTTATGGTGTTTTCCATGAATCTATTATATGAGATGATACTTTGTATTCATATTGCAAGCTATGATTTTTATGAAGAAAATTCAAAATTACACTTTGCTAATATTTCTATATTAAGTCAAAATATTCATAAAATAATGTATCATATGATCTCATGTCATCAAATAAAATTTTAGAAAATTATATTATTTGATCAAGATGAACTAGATCAGTTATAGACTAAGAGCCGATCGTTGCTCTTGTTGACATAAATATGATGATTTGTATTAATGTTTTTTGTTTTTTGTAGACATTGTTTTAGTGACGTGAAGTAGTATATTTATGGATTATTATGTTTTGAATTTTTTCATGTTTTATCATGAGATTTGAAATAACATTAGATGCTTTAAATGTATGATTAGGTTATTAAAAATTAAAATAAATATGATGTTCATATATTTCTTATTTTATTGAAGTATCAATTGAAGATGAAAGACCTTGATATAATAAAATTAATTAGAGAGATGAAAGAAAAGAAAATATTTTTTATTTAAAAAATATTGATTACTCCAAGTAAATTATGTTAGCAAGGTTGAAAATAAAATTTTTTTTATAAATCGTAAAAGTACAACTTTGCCAAAAATTTTGACATTTGATTTTATGTAATTCTTTGATTAAAATTTAAATCTATTAGTTGTTTGAAGCAAATAATGTACAGCCTAACCTTGATAATGTCACCCTTGTTGATAGAACACCTTGATATTGTCAACTAAAAGTTTGAAACCGATTTTCCTAGTGTAAAACTCCCACGTTATTATCACTATCACCCTTGATAATGTCACTATTTTTTTTCCAAAATCTGTAGTGTAAGTAATATCAAGTATGGATTGATTGTATATGACAGTTGGATGGACAGATTGTAGTAGCAAAAAGGTCATGAGAAGCGCCTATGATAAATGAAATACTATTCAGTGGGCAAAAGCTAAGCGAGACAAAGAATTATGCTAAAGATCTTTTGAATTTTATGGCTAGCCGAGGTTCTCAGATTTTCAACACTCAAGAGTTGTTAGGAATGGAAAAAATCCATGACAAACTCATTAGAATTGGTGTTGGACATTTAACATAACTAAAACAATGTGACATTAGAAACTTCTTTGTTTCTAGTTAGAGTTCTCTACCGGATCTCAATGACACATTATGATGTGTTCTTGTTGACATTCACAGTTTTGAATTACATTTTACATTCAAAAACTTTGAAGCCTTTCATTTGTTATTTTCTTTTTTATATTTTTATTTTATTTTGATTTTTTACTTATTTTTTTGATAGTATCACATTATGCACAATTCTTCAAAATGTGACATTATCAAAAATGTCACACCTTGTTTATATCACATTTATGATTAAACAGAGGGTGTGATATCAAGTTTAGAGAGTATATTTTTTAGTGATGAATTTGTGATTCATACTTTCATAGATAGTACAACAAAATTCAAACATCATACAAGAAAAAATATTATTCTAATATGATTTTAAAAAAAAATTATAAAATTTAAAATTTTTCGATTTTCACAATTTTGATCATTTCTCATATATATATATATATATATATTGGAAGATTAGCTAATATAACTAATTAAGGTTAAGTTAATTAAAATTAATCAAGATATGAGTGGATTATTAACACTGTAAATTAAAATTATATGATAAAAAATCATGAATATATATTTATGTATTTATGGTCAATTGAACAAGTAAGTTGATATTTTATATTGCAAAAGCTTGTTTTTCAATTTATAATAACTTTTGAAAATATTGTGTTGACAAAAGAAGCAATCTATATAATTTTATTAAAAAAAGTTTGTCACAAAATTGAAATTAATGCATGTCACAATTAAATTTTATTATGATAATAATATATATAATCATTAAATTGATGTAAAAATGTGTGTTTCTCAAAGAATAACCTCGTTTTGATAATTTTGTTAATGTGAATTTTATCAAAATGCTTGTTTTCATGAATTTCATTCAATATTAACAAGAATGAGATTATAATTCAAAATATGATGAAAAATAGTTTATCAATGCAAGAAATTTTTTACTAAAAAATATATATACAAAATACAATTTTTGAAAATAAAAGTGTTTACAAATTTTTATGCTCTGAAATATTTTAGTTTTTTCCTACACTTTTATCATTTTTGTTATATATTCACAATCATGAAGTTTCTTAATAGAATTAGAATTTTTGTTAAAAATTAAAATTTAAAACAAGCTATTCTATGTATTTTTTCAATATATCAATGTATCAGGATGCAAGTTATTTATGTCAATGTTCATGTATCAATCATGTTGATGAATCAAGTTGTTTTGACAAAAGATAAGATAGTTATGAATAAATAAAAAATTCAGATCTTCATGCATATATCAATTGAGTATGTTGGCCTTTGACAATTTTGCACTTTTAATTTGATATAAATCAAACTTTGATTTCAAACTAAATAAATTGACAGCGAATATCAAAGTCTTTCGCAAAGTTTGCGAAACACTTTGCGGATATTCACATGATGCGGTCGGTAAAGGCATTTAAAAAAATATTTCAGACAGTATCTTCGACTAAATACTAAAACGAGGTGGCTAAAGCAGCTACTGTCGTTTCCACGGGGTTTCAGCGACAATCACGTTCAGTTTCTGAAAATTGAATGTCAGTCCTTGGTTGTTAGATAATGGAGTCAGGCCTCTGAACAGTTTTGCTGGCATGATCTCCGTGCTTGCAGGTTACATATGTGAATATAGTCAGGACAATCGTCTCAAATTTCGCTTGTTAGATTAAAGTTGAACTGTATCGATAAATGCAGATAATGTTTTATTTGGTTTCATGTGTCTTGAAGAAGTCTACATCTCTGTCCTGGTGATTGCGGCAGCTTATTTTAGTTTAGGTTTACTTCTTTGGACAATGGACAAGTGTCGTCTGTCTTGGTCATTGCCGTTGTCCTATGTTATGTTGAGGCTTTGGCATGAATGCAATTGCACCTTCTAATGATGACTAATTTGATGGATCAGATCAATCAAGTAGAGGGAGGAATGATGCCAGGACTGATCAAGAAGTGATCACACACTCTACTACCCTTTTCTTATGAACGCCCACTGGAAATATGGCATTTCTTCTCCAGAAAGGACGAAACTTTATGGCAAAATCCTCCATCTGTGGTCAAAATCCTTTCCTAAACGTTCACAGGTTTGACTTTCAAATTCTTATGGATTTAACCTTTACTGTTATCTACTTATAATAGATTGATTCTTATCCATCCTCTCTCATTTGGCAGAATCAGATTGAAATCATCATGATGATGACCAGTACAATACCTTGCTAATTTTGATTCAAACTGGATGTGGCAAAAAGTCGAATAAGCAAAAAAGACAAGTTAATAAAATGATTCTAATAAGCTTGACTCTTTCAAAAATGACAAATTCCTCTGCTCTAGGAAAAACACTCACTAAAAGAAACAAATCTTCACACATGTGATAAGAATATGTGTACAAGTTCTACAAGAGTTATACTATGTCTCAAAAGCATAATGAACAAACTTATGAACATTCTATAAACTTTTGACTTAACTATCAATATGCATTCGTTGGACCATGCTTGTTGTAGCATAATAGAATTATAATAATTATCAAAGCCTTGTCCCTACTCTACTATTGACTTTGTACTTTGTGGGGTTTGATTGGATTTACTTTAGCTTTTTATTTCCATGTGATCTTTGGTTTATATTAGAGCTTCACCTTAAAAGATTTTTAGTCATGAGAAGTTTTAAGCACAGTTGTCAATGCACAGTTTAGCGCGGGAGCACTCTTCCATACAAATGATTACAGATATATTACAGCTTTACGTATGAGCAGAAATAAAATATGCCCTAAAAATATGAGCAGAAAGTAAAATCAAAACTTAAGGATGGAAAACCCCATCAATTCTTACATGAACCCAAAAACTTAACATGTGTCTTATGTATCAACTAGGACAGATCTCAATGAAGCCTCAATCTTTCGATCCGAAGAAAGCATGTGTATAGCTACAACATCAAGATAAATTTGAAAAAAGTAGATTTGAATA